ACCCAGCAGCGGCATTTGTTTCACAAGCTGGACCCTGCTGATGAGACCCAGAAGAGCAAAACCAGTCCAGAGTTTTCTTGATTAAAAAATGTTGTTGGATAAATACAAATAATTTTAACCGCTCTGCTAGCTACAGACTTAGCGCAGCCTGGAAGCGTATTATTAAGTAATACACGATACATATTGCAATTCCTTATAGAGGAGTCACATGATAATTGGCTGATTACTGATCTATTATATTATTGCAATACCCCCCCACCTCCGCCTATGATCTCGAAAAACCTGATGGGGGTCAACAATGATGACGTCGTCCTGCACTATTTAAGACCGGAAGCAGGTGGATGGCTTCATGATTCTGGCAAATCGCCCGAAGATGCTGGATATTATTACCAGCGAAACGTCGTGCTCAAATTCTAAATGTTGTGGATTCACTCTACAAACATACCTGTGGGCTGAAGAAGTGACTAATTGGCGTTTTGTTAACGTGACACATTTTTTACTGATTGGCCGTGTCGGGTGGCGGAGGGTTGCGACACATTTATAATAAGGCGATCTAACCCAAAAACCTTTATTATGGATAATATCTGTTTGCAAAGGCTATAGGCCAACGGACTAATAACATATTTGTATTTCCATGTTAAGACAGAAAGGAGTTGTGCTTATATATATATCATTTTACCCACAACTCTCCACAGCAAGACGTCACGAGTTTGTTATCCTAAGTTAAATGTGCACCAAATCATCTGCTGATGTCATAATCAGGCCACATTGTCTGCACGGGTTTGGTATTTGTAGGATATTCTAATAGCAGAGAGGAGCGCTGCGTGGGTGGAGGGAGGGGGGAAGACAATTGCCAAAAATTGTAACGACTGCACAAAGTGCAAGCCAACGCACACAGGTGGACGCTCTCTCGTTAATAACTTTATTCCTCAAGCGCAGAGCAAAGGAAGCACTTTAATTTAATGCCGGGCGATGATTATTAGGAATGCACCTGTGCACTTTGGCGAGTGTAGCCACGGCCATAAAGCCTCCAGCTGGGCACGACTCCAAGACGTAATGGAAGCACAAATCAGCGCCCCCCCCCCCCCCCATTAAACCAATAATAGATCTGTCCACACGAGCTCCATCCATAGCCCTGCCACCTGTCCACTTACGCACTTCACGGCAAAACAAACAACGTGAGTTGCCGTCGGTCAGACCTCGTTCGGCTGAAGCGAGGGAGAGGATTCGTCACCGCCGCCACCGCCGCTTTTAAAGTATCCCTCTCGCTTATCTCGGGACCGCACAAAAGCCTCACTCCGCTCACCGCCCACCCGAACGCCCCCCACGCCGCCCGCCCATACTCCCCGAAGTCTGTGGGGGGAGGGGGAATAACTCATCACCCCCCCCTCCACGCACGCACGCGGGGCGATTAAAATGTACATGGTCAATTAGGCCGGAGCATCGAATTAACCGTCAAGGTCCCCGTGCCGCCCTAATACATCGTGCCGAGGGTCGTGAAGTTCAGGGCCTTGGACGCACCCTCGCCGCACTTAGCCACCCCGAATACCAAATGTTTTGTTCGTGATTAACGTTGAACTTCTGTTGCAGTGTACGTGGCCAACCGCGCTCATCGGATGAGAGGGATAACGCGTCAATAAAGCGCTAAACAAGTACTCGCGTTTGGGACCTTTCTTGCCAGTATTACAATATAACAATAGGTTTTACCCTTCATGGCAATAAAACAGGTGTCAAGATGTGAAAACACCAAACAGAATCCTTAATCAAGGAATCCTGTTTGCATTAACCACGTACTTGTGGTGAACATGCAAAGAAAAAAAACATGCTCTGATAATATATGATGCATTGTCTTGGAAACTGATTGGTCCACACCAGAGACAGCTTTCTTTTGAGCCTACTCTCAACGTGTTAGACCAGCCTCCCTGTCACTCCTCCCTGGCTCCTCCCCCCCTTATCTTGCCTATATGGCCTCTTGTTGCAGCAGCCCCTTTTGCCCACTTCAGCAATTGTTTCTTACTGTGGCTGTTCACCTGATGACGGACGCTTGTGTTGCGCCCGAAACGTCGTGATTTAATTTATTTTATTTTATACCTACGTGACTTTACCGAAAGAACCAAAGAATATGGATCCCTGCAGTCACTAAAATTTCAAATCTAGATTCAAATCTAGATTTGGTGGTGGAGGGTTGCGACACATTTATAAATAACGCGATCTAACCCAAAAACCTTTATTATGAATAATATTGGCTGCGAAAGCCTACGTGTTAATCTTGACACCTATTTTATTACCAGAAAGGCTAAAACCTATTGTTATAAGTACTCGCGCGTAAACGCTCAATTATAGCTTCAAACGCGAGGCCTTTGGGTGTCCTTGTCGTTACCCTGAAAGGTTTAGCAATGACGTCTCAAACGGCAGAGGATAAATATCAAAGATCTCCGCGCTTCTGAAGGGAAACTCATCACGACTTCTGAGCGGGACACGATGGGTGGCTCCCTTACGGCCAAATCGAGTTTTTGACAATTTAAACAACCGTAGAGCAAAAATCTCGCAGGCCTTGAGAACACCCACGTGTTGCATCTGCAGCTATGGCGAGCATGAGTCGGAGCACGTTCACACTCCACGATCCTGTGGCAAAGGTACAGACAGGGTCATCGTCTTGTGGTGGTAGATTCATGTGATGAATTTAAGTGTGACGATAACAGTGACAACGATGATGGTTTCATACGTAGCCTGCAGAGACCAATACTCTGATGAAACCAGTGAAGAATTAGTGATTATGATGGCCCTGGCCAGGATTTGAACTCATGCCCGAATAAGTTAACAGCTCCTGCCCTTGCGACTACTCTACCACCGGAACAAATATTGCAGTCCGCACACGTACAGCGTAGGCACACAGAGTCAGCATGCACACTATTCCGCTAAGTCCTTGAGAATTTGAGGAAAAAAATAATACGCACCGAAAGTAACACGCTTTGAAAACACCCGGACGTGTCTTTTTGAGGCAGCCCCATGCGTCTCGATTGTGATGGGCTACTGCGCAATGAGTATACAGAGTACACATAAGCAACTATTATTTCTCCAGCTGTCAGGTGCTCGCGGAGTCTAATGCCATCCGTTCGAATTCACCTCGCCTTTAAATTGCCGCTCTTAAAGTCACCCATCTCCCTTAATTGTCTCAGACATTCCCGCGTAAGGGGGCCATTTCGAACAGGGTAATGTCACGCCGGATGCAAATAATTGGGCACGTTTATTATTTTTTTTATTTTAAATATGCTGCGCTAATGAGAAATTCATTTGGTCGCCTACGGTGCCGCAGCAACATCTGCCCGCACGAGCCGCGTCACGTGACGGCCCTTAGAGCAACACATTTGAGTCAACTGTGAATCGCGATTCAAGAGGCGTAAAGGTGCAGCCCTGCAGTTGCGTGCTCGCACAGCTGCACCAGATGGGGGGGGCTCCGCTCTGACACACCGGCCAGATGCCTTGGGAGAGGTGGCAAAGAGGGAGTACCCAGACTTTACCCCGCCACACGCATCATCCCGCCGAACGACTCGGTGTGCTTGTGCCCCTTCACACTGCTGGGTGGACACAGGCACAGGGCACGACCCGAGAAACTTCCCCAACGTTGAGACCGCCGTGCGCGGGAGGTTGAGTCGAAGGGGCGACCTCTGGATTGCAAGTCCAGCGAGCGAGAAAAAACTAAAATTACTACGGTTGTCATTTTTTTGTCCTTGGCGCACCACATTTATGCTGCTGGGCGAACATAGGCAAGAGAAGGGGGGGGGAGGGGGGGGTTGATTTAAGAAAATTGCACCGTTGTTGTCAACTGCCGCACCAGGAGACTGAACTGAACTGGTGACCTTTGGATTGCGAGTCCGGTTGTGCTGACCCTCAGACCACGGATGCATCCATGATATAAGCAAGTAAATCATCGGCATTTATCAGAGATCATTGATCTGAGATATATCAAAATGGGGAGCAGGAATTTTACATAAATACTGCTGGAGGAATTTTAAACAGTGCTGTACATTCAAACACATTTCCACTATAACCTTCTTCTCAGTGCTGAAGTTTGGGAAAACACCTCGCCCAGTGCTCATTCTAGGCTGAGTCAACCTAGCAGAAGCGCTGAACAATTCTGTTATCGCCACGTTTGTAGCACAGTGTGATAACTGCTGCCCAACCGCCCCAGAAAGACATGTCCTCAATATGGCCTAAACAGGCCATATTGAGGTTTGGTGCCGGCCACCCACCCCCGCATATGCATGGCGCATATGCGGGGGTGGGTGGCCGGCACCAAACCCGGCCGCCTTTGTATCCCCAGTGGCAATGTTTACACGCTGCAGCAGGCAATTACTTGAGGCTGCGTTGACCCAGGGTACGCCCAGAACCGGCTCAGATAATTGTCACTGCTGTTGGCCACGAGCGGGAATCTCCACAAACTTTCACGCGCACAAACAACAACAGCCACCGCCATTCGCCACGCAGTGACGGTGAAGGCACAACGGCGTTTGTGCCACACGCACACAAACAATACGGTAAGTCTTCACGTAATGTGCGTTCACGCAACGCGATTTCGCTATGATGCGCACCGTTATAACACGGAACGCGTACCGTTATAGCGCGGAACGAGCGAACGTGCACCGTTATAATACATGGCTCGACACTTTTCAGGAACGCTTCTACCGCATGAAACAAGGAATTTCTCAAAGTAAAGGGTTTTTTTTTGGGTTAGATCGCTTAAATATAAATATGTCGTTAACCGACCACCACCCGACACAGCCAATCGGTAGGGTTTGTCACGCAAACGAAATGTGCCAATCAGTCACTGCTCCAGCACACGGGTGTGCGACGGACAGTAAACCCGCAACGTCGTACAATCCGAGTTTGACGGTGCTCCCTCGCTCGCGATTACAACAGCTGGCTTCATCGGCGGCCGATCTCGCCGGAAAATGTGCGGAAAAGGTCCCTTTTCCCCCGCGCGCGCACCTCTCACTCACGTGATCGACGAGCTCTCGCACCATCCCGTTCCACTGGCCGTTCTCGTCCTGCGAGCCGTATTTCTCGTCGTCCACCAGCTTGACCTCGTAGGTGAAGCCCAGGATTTTGGAGAGCTCCCTGAGCAGATCCATGCAGTAGCCCTCGAAGCGCTCGTTGCCACGGAGGGTTCTGTGCAACTTCTTGAACATGGTGTACGGCCCTTCCTTCGGAGTCGGCAGTGGAGGGGGAGGGAGGGAAGGAATTAACGAAGAAAAAAGAACAGAAAATCATAAAATCATCGGGGGGGGGGGGGGGAGCTATACACGACCGCGTGCGTCTTCGAGGTGACCCACGTTCGATTCCGACGAATGGCAGTGACAGCGAATTTATGAACCCGGTTCAGGGTCTCCCCTCGGTCAACCCAGCCTGAAATTAGTACCTGGTGCGGTTTGTAAGCATCAGCACTGCGGAGACAAAGGGGGTCGGGCGTGGTGCTGGCCACCCACGCCCTCGCGTGCCGTGCCGGCATTCATAGGTGCTACTCGCTAACAGCACTTGCCCAAAAAGTCTGTTAAGGCTATACGGGGAATCTCTGTATGTGATTGTATGTGTTTATGTGTCTACATGACTGTGTGTTTAGGGATCGGTTATCTGTGCGTGCCTCTGGGTATGTGTGTATGACTATGTGTATGTGTCTGCATTGATTATGTTTGCATTTGTATCACTATTCATTTCATGTTTGTGCGATATTTTCGATTTCCCATGTGACGCAGTTGTTTTTGATCCATTTTCACTGTCCTTCATTGCTGTACTTTATTATGACTTCGCTTTGTCATTCTGGTGACCCAGGGCATTATGGCCAATGAGACTCATCTTGGTCTCTTGAGTTCTCACACCTGGTTAAACAAATAAACTCAACGTGACCTGTGTGTACATCTCCACGTATAAGTGCACGTGTATGTATGTCTAACTTCTTTCGCACCGTACGTAGCCACCCGTGCATATCGGAGGTGCGAGGGAAAGACAACAAACTAAACACAAAAATCAGTTCTCAATAACTTTATATTGTCAATCTACATGATTAAAAAGCGCGCAGCTACAGCGGCTGCTTAACATCGGAAGGGAGAACGTTCCGGACGGCCGCAGAATCGCGTCCGAAAAGTGCAGCGCGATGATGCGGTGACCACCGTCTTTGTCCGACGGCTCCGCAAAATCCCCCGACCGCTGCCGCGAGGACGACCGGAATTTGCGTGACGATAGTTCACGCCGCCTGACGAGATCAGCGAGGCGTGCGTGCGTGCGGAATGCTGCCCCCCCCCCCCCAAGGACCACCGCGCGTACCAGAATCGTGGTGACAATGAGAGTCCGGTTGGACAGCGAGTCCGTCACGTTGACGGACTTGTCCTTGTTGGCCTCCAGCATCTTCAGCCCCGTGACCGTGTCCCACGTGCCTATCTGGGTGACAAGAAGGCGGCGGTGAGCGGGCGGTGCGGCGCTCGGCCAGACGAGCCTCCGACCGGCGCCAGCGTCACACTCGGCACGCCGAACGCGGGTTCGGCTCCTTGTTATCCGCCACCCGATTAATCCGCAGTGCCAATTGCCCGTGTGGACCCCCCCCCCCCCAGTATGTCTGTCATCTGACATCGTCCGCAAAAAAATTCGCCTAGAGTCATTCACGGAGCAGCGTCCAGTTATCCGCGCGCACGTTTCGCAGTTAAGAGGAGTCGCACTGCAAACTGCTCCAATAATCCGCAAATGTCTGCAAACGTTTTCCCACCGGCAAGTACAGAATATGTGCAGATAACCCCCCGCGTATGATATCGGATTCGAAACATTGCTCCCCGGTTTTCATTCAATTGTTCCCTGTGCTCGTACTCGCCGCTTTTGGGGCAAGCGCTGTTAGCGAATAGCGCCTATGTAGGCCAGCACGGCACACGAGGGTGTGGATGGCCAGCACCACGCCCACCCACCTTTGTCTCCCTGGGCCTCTCCTTGTGAGACCGAGTCGCCCAAGGAAAGGCCCAGGACCGGTTCAGATCGCCATCAGCGATGTTGGCCGCGAGCGGGGAATCGAACTCGCTAAAATAGTAGCGCAGCACGCTAACCACCCGCCCCCACCCCCCACAAACAGATACACGACAGAGGTACGCGCGCAGTGCACACATTGTGGTGGGTTTATTTTGTCTAAACCTACCAAAGGAAAGCACCGAAAATGCGCGCCGCCGATGCAAACGAAATGCGCGAGGAACAAAATTTCGGCATTTGAGCGCGTGGGCTATTAGTACCGCTGGTGATAACAGCAGAGCGCGGAGGAGGAGAAGGGAAAGAAGTCGTGCTCTCCTGCAAGGCGAGAACATTCCCCATCGCCGAAAGCGGTCACTGCAGATTGGGGGCCCCCCGGGATTTTATTTCGTCGCAACGAGCGACGTAAAATACATCGGGCTGGGATGGACCGTGAGTTTGGCCTTATAATTGCCGCGGTTACACCACTTATTCAATCCGCACTGTAGATGTGTTCAATTATAAAGGGAAAGGGATTAGCGCTGCGAAAAACACGTCTAATGGCTTAACTGCAATAAGCAACCAAATGGTAATTTTGTTCATTTTACACTACATTAGGGAAAGTATCATTTCCTCGAGCTATGGGAAATTTGCCTTGGTGAATGAACACACACGCACACACAGAGTTTCAGAATAGTCGGCCTCGAAAGTTAGACTTCACATTACACTATCATCATCAGCAGCCATGACCTATCCACTGCTGGATGAAGGCCTCCACCAAAATCGTCCAGCATCTCCCACGTGTCTGCGATGCAACAATCCACCTGGCGCCTGAGATTATTTCACCAGTGGGCACCCTCTCGGACGCGTCCCCGTTCCTCGGCCACCACTCAATCGCTATAGTTGACCCATTCGGGCCATCGTCGGCGTCCAGCGACGCGTCCGGCACAAGCCCAACTTCACTTCCCTTCCTTAAAATACCCTGGATGCTGTCATTAATCCCGAGGAAATTGTATCTCATCCACGCGTCGCAATTCCCAGCGTGGCACATATTCTCCGTGCTTCTCTTTCGCACTTTAACTTCTCTTTTCACTTTATGGTCCATTTTCTTCGTGAATGGAAATGTTTCCGACTCTTGTAAATGCTGTTTGTGGTGTCAAATGCATTGTGCCGATGGCAGTGGCTTTCACCCAAACTTCCCCCCTTGCGGAGTAAAACCGCAAAGGAATCTACCCGTCAAATCCTTAACCTCACTTGCATAGGTGATTGCCACTTAATTAATTAGCATTTGCGTTACACTTGAGTCATCTTTCTAGAGGCACGGCTCAATTCACGCTAATTTGGATAGTTCCCTGCGTGCAACCGATTGGTATTCTTGACATGTTTAAGGAAATTAATGTTAAACATAGAAACGCATTGACACTGGGTCACATCGCGAAAGTATGTGCGTAACGACCAGTGAAGCGTCGTAATACTTTATTAAATATTCCTGGATTGCTGTCCAGCACAGAGGTGCGCTGCAGCAGTAATGCATTGCCACGTTTGTTCATTGGCTGCGTCAGGTGGCGGAGGATGTATGGGCACACTCTTTGCTCGCGCGATCTGACGTGAAAATGTATCGTAATATTTTGTTGCGAAGGCATGTGCAGTGTTGAATGTACAATGACACTGACACGGGCAGTCTTTTGTAAAAAATATATATATAATTTTTCCTCGATTTAAGTGTGTTTTTTCAGCAATTTTTCCCCGCAACTGATAATCACAATCAAAGTGATCAGAGGCAACAGCATGGGTTTAGCAGCGTGTGCCAAAACAGCTGGTAACGCTTAATTAATTATGCATCCTCTTGCATCTGACCTTCGCATCCCATCACAGACACCAAACATAAACGTCAATGAATATTCATACGCTGAGAAAACAAACACCGAATCAAATTAAAAACATATTTCTAATTTTCACCGTTGTTATACAAGATGCTTGAGTTACAAATGTTAACTTTTTTTAAACATTACTAATCGAAGACATCTCGTGGTTGAGAATAAAAGTGTAAAGGCGCAGGCCTGCAATTGCTTGCCCACGCCACTGCTGGCAGAAGGGCTTCCACTCAGGGGGAGCTCTCTCTCTCTCGACAGAGAGAGAGCACCTCCAGAGTATACTTTGGCCTACTCTTCCACACTGGCCAGACGTTTTCAGAAGAGATGGTAGTACCCACACTTTTCCCCACCACACACGACCTGCCAACAGTGCAGTCTCAGAGTCAGACTCAGAATCTTTCTTTATACCCGGAGGAATCCGATGAGCTATGATGCTCTTTCACACATGTCCAGTCGGGGCGGGTAGGAACGTTACAAGTAGTGGTAGGTATAGCCACGGACACTGCTGGTTGGGGCAGAAGCGGTGGAGGGGATTTAATAAACTCGCCAACTGTTACAACCGCCTTGCCTCCGGGAGATCAAATGGAAGTGGAGACCACCGAATTGCAAGTTGCGTTGCACCAACCATCCCCCCTCCCCCCCCCCCCCCATGGCAGCATCCCCCATTGTGTGTAAACAAACACACACACACACATACACGAGAGACGTGTTAAATGAATGGTGCAAGTGACAGCGACCGCTTTGACCGGCGCAGATAACCTGCGAAACGGGTGACAATTATAATTAAAACACAAACCTTCGTCCAAACTTTTTTATGGGGCCCTTGCACCACCTCACTAATCGCCTACCGTGGGGAAACAAAACAAACAAAAGAAACATGAGTGAAACAAAACAGAAAGAGCAAATAGCCATGCACGTGCAACATCCACAGCAAAAGTATAAACACGCGGGGTCTGCAGCAAACGTTAGACCAAAATAATACGGATTCAAATCACACCACAAGAACCGCGCCGATGGATTGACAAATCAAAGAACGATGTAGCACATTTGTGACACAATGCTGGAAAAAAATGCAAAATAACCAAAAGATGTCATGAGAAGTTGGAATATCTCACAATACCCGAAGAGCAGAGAACAATGGACAATGAATGAATGCATTGTCTTCAGGGTTAATTTTCTCAATCGATCTTTTATTGTATGCCTGCTGCTTCGTTGCCTTGGGGTAAGGATTATTATCGGCATAAGGCACTAACTAGCAATATACTACAATCCGCACCTACCCATAACAATCCTATATTATTGTACCCTACGTTCCTGTTATCGGAGAAATTGATTCATAAAATATATAGAATCATGCGGTGTCATGAGGACAAAATAAGGCGGGATGGATGTGGCATGCTATCCTTCTGAACTGTTCCGGCTGAGATGATACACGGATTGTCTCGAGTGGTAAATTATTACAAAACTCACAATAAAACTGGGACTTTTCACGTCCTGGGAAGACCTACACATACGTTTCCGAGGACAGCCGCTACCACGCCCAGAGGGCAATTCTGGGTTAGAAGGACAGTGCTTTATAGACAGCATTTGGTTTGACGCTCCGTGAAGCGAAAGAAAATATCTGGCCAGGTGGCTCAGCGGTACAGAAAATGGCTCGCAATCAAAAGGCTGTCAGTTCAACTAATGGTTGGGTGTTGATTTAGGCCATCGCCCCTCCAAGGTCGATAAAATGATTACCACTTTTTTGGGGAAGTCAACAGCGGTTCTCCTTAGTATACTTAAACATTTTTTTTTTCACGAGGTGAGGCCTCACTGAGCCACACAGCGACCTGGCCACCACAAATGATAGCTCAACGAAGTGACTCATCGTCATCACGTGGTAATTCACAGCAGCCAGATGCTCGAAACGCACGCTTCACCCCACCGTCTGTCCCCCGTTACGTGAACGTGGAATTCCCGTCGCTGGCTCAGGGCTGTCGATGGGAAAGGAACATCAACCGCGATCCTTATCTCAGCCGGAAATCGCTTTTTCGACGTTTCCTATTCGAGACGACTCGACACGAGGGTGCCCGGGTGCAGATTCGTTGGTTCACGAGCGACGCTCATCGAGGCGACGAAATTCGCGAAAGCGTTCGTTTGCGCTGAAGATTGCGTGAAAAATATTCAAGCTTTCGTTATTTTAAAATCTTGTCTTAAGGCTTTCGTGACTGCAAGGAGTTCGCATTCTTTGGGTCTTTCGGTAAAGTCACGTAGATGGGAAAAAATAAGAACAATAAAATAATACAAATGAAAATGAAAAGAAAGTGAATGAAAAACAAAAGATCACGACGTTTCGATCGCAACACAAGCAATCTCCTGATGACGATTGCTGGTGTTGCGATCGAAACGTCGTGATATTTTATATTCATTTTTCATTCACTTAATTTTAATTTTCATTCATTTTTCATTGTTATTATTTTTTCTATCTGCGTGACTTTACCGAAAGACCCAAATAATATTTCGTTAATTTTGCCTAAGATAAATAAAAAATATATACATATATATATCCAGAGCCGGGCAATTTGTGCTGGAGGTGGCTAATTTGGTAACATTTAATTCTACCAGTTGTCATCGAACACGTAACGGCGTCTAATTACTTGTCTCGTTAAGTACAGAACTGTGAATCCACAGTTCACACCCGTTAGAATGGTTAGTAATCAATTTCACTCGACTGTATTAGTGTCCTTCCTTAGATTCGATTCCAGCAGTTACATTCATTGTTCGGGTTTTCGGGGGAAGGGATGAAGTTAAAATTAAGTAAATTATGTATTTTATTTCTTGGAGGTGTTAGGTTTTAGGTTTAGAGCTTAAAGTTCCTGGACTGCATCTGTGATCCCAGCGCTTTGGAGGAAACGGGTTGTTGGGTTACGCAGATGAGTCGAAGCCTACTATGGCTGCAATGTGGCCTGAAGATAGCAGCACAACACATGGGTTCTTGACCCCATCTTTGCAAACCATTAAGCATCGTTTCCTGCCACTTGCAAAACACTCGTCAGCGGAATCGGCAAAACATCCAAATTCAGGGACCTTCCTGAAGAAAAAAATAATCTTGAGACTGAGTTCAACTCGCGTGGATAAATAAGTATTATCTTAATTGCCCTTAATGCCTTCCGATGTGTCGTGTCGCGTGCCGTTCAGAGCGATGTACAACGATTCGCCCCACATGCCGGGAGCTCCTTCGGGAGGAGTTAAACGTTGGACATTGTGCCAAACAACACGCCGCATCAGCCGCGAGCATTTCAGCGGAGCGGCACAGCACGGCCGTGAAACCCTCTGCGGCAACACGTAACACTCTTATTATTATTATTATAAAGTTTAATATTTGGCGGTGCTGCTGTTGGTAACAGTGTGTGGCCTTTAAATGTGTATCTAAATCATTATATAGGCGATGTGTTTTTTTTTACGAATCTGGTGAATTATTATTATTATTATGTGGGTCAGTTTTAAGGATTTACAACTGCCTGGCCATGACATAAAGAATTGCATACAATTACTGACAGCTTCACTACTATAGCAAAATTGTGAAACGTGGAACTATATATATCAGAAGTGTATCAGAAGTGTATTTCCTGAGTGAAGCCCATTGAGCTAAAACGTTCCTCTTGAAGCATGGCTAAGAAAAGTCTTGCAGTCTCTCAAAAATTTGAGATAATGCCAAATGTATATTTGAAATAAAATAATATAATCACCACTGCATCTAACTAAATGGGCTTTTTGAAGGCTACCCACCACCACATTAACGGTCTGAGAGTGAGGTTATTTAGATTTCATGAAGACCAATTGTAAATCATTGTCTCTTGTTACAACCACCTACTTCATACATCAACTAGCACCAGCATACCATTACCCCGTAATGAAAGGGCTTCAATTGTTTTTTTAAACCTCATGTTATGTCAGCGACACTTAAAGTGGCTTATTCTCGACGATTATCGATTCCTCGCGGGCACTGAGCCCACTTTCATTTCTGATGAATTAACATGGCTAAGTCTGATTTTGCTAAACTGCCTCGGCGGTGTTTTATTTTATTCAATCAGATTACCACCTCCATCGTTCCCTCCATCGCGGGCCCTCTAAATTATTCAAGCGAGCAATTACGGCGCGGGTGTTTTTTTTTTAAGTGCGGGCGGTTAGAATGTGGTGAAGGGTTATTAAAGTTTCGCTCCAAGTGTTGTAAAAGGCAAATGAATGAAAGTTGTACTTTTTTTGTGTAAAATGGTTATTCCCAAGTTGATACGTGTCACGTGAGTGGGTTTCATTAATCTTTAACCATTCCTTGGACTCAGCCTGACAGGCCGACAACCATGACAGGCAATTTATCTTCCCACCAAATACTTAATTGTACTAAAAATAAATTAAATTAAATAAATACAAACGTGGTCACCTTATTTCAGTGATGTACCGTGCAAAATAGCATTATTTTTTTAATCTGGCAATACTTTCCTGAAACAAAGAAAAACACTTGGCAGCATCTGAAGTCAGCCGAACTCTCTCCACCAAATGCTGCTATGATAATTGAATTCAAATAAATCAAAATCACGGTTAAAACATTTTGCACTTTTCCCTTCACGTACACTTTTTTTTTTTACGAAATGAACACTTGAACAATTTACAGACACACTACAATGTGCCGCGGTAAATGGTGTGGCAACTCATACACTGAATTCCACATTATTGAATACAAGATAAAGGTGGTGATGGTGCAGCCCTGCAATGTCTTGCAGGTCCCGCAATCCTGGCGAAGGAAGAGTCTCCACCAGAGGAAGCTTTCTCGAGAGCCCTTCTCGAGGGCATTTGTGGCCTTAACCCCCCCCCCCCCCCCCCCCCCCCCCCCCCCCGCAACGGCCAGAGAATCAACCACGCGCGATTAGGCGATCGACTAATTGCAGTCTATCCATGCACCCGGCTGTGTGGACAGAAGCGGTGGGGTGTCAATAATATTGCCCATTGTTTAAAATGTGGTGCCGGGTCATCGAAGCGGCGAACCCTGGATTGGCAGTCCAGTGTGTACGTACGTACGTAGGTTGAAATTATTTTGCACCGCGTGTAGCCAGCCGTTGCAAATCGGAGGTACAGGGGAAGGACAACGAACTAAAAACAAAAAGCAGCGGGTCTAAAGAAATGAGCTTTAAATCTACATTTAAAAGTGCATAGCTCAAGTGGCTTCTCGAGTATCGGAAGGAAGAGCGTTCCAGACGGCCGCAGAAGCACATCTGAAAGCGCGCAGATGCGGTGACAACGATTACACCCACGGCGAAGTCTCTCTTGGACTGCTTTAACCACACAGTGCAAAGGGCAATTTACCAGCAACACAAAACACAACAGTTTGTTTCACGGTTACAAAATATAATGAACCGCTCCATCCTTTAACGATGGACCACCAAGTCATTGAGGAACATTAGATAAAGGGCACATCTGTGTCACAGGTACTACTGAGAGCCGAGTACAATTTAGTTGTAGTTATATTCTTGGTTCTTTCGGTAAAGTCACGTAGAAGGGAAACAATAAAATTAAAAAAATGTATATAAAACAATAAAATTCCCACGACGTTTCGACTGCAACACAAGCAATCATCATCAGGTGATGAACAATCACTACAACCGAAAGAACTAAGAATATGAATATTGATGTGAGGATGCCAATGAGTGAGATTTTTACATGCATGTATCGCCAACGTTTTATAATTAGGTTCCGCTAAATGCTGTCTGAATTAAGTATTCACATGCCATTTGGAGCTGCTTAAACGTATTTCGCTGACATTTAAAAAGTGAACTGTTAAATTCAGGAAAGAAGCAGATGCTTATACTCGAATACATTTCACATTTAGGTTGTGATTTACAGGAATGGGAGGTAGCAAATGAAAATAAAGACGAATACGATAGAATCCATAATCACGAAAACAACAAAGATGAACAATCACTACAACATGCCCAACAACACAATAATCACAATGACGCCATCACAGCTAATAACAATAAAAACAACGAGCGCGGATGACTTCAACCACACTGCGGCCGAAAATGCAGCCCAACGTCGCATATCCAACTCGCTGGCGGGCGAGTTAACGGTGGCCGTGTGAATGAAGGTGAGATTTGTGAACATCTAATAGAAAGTAAAGGTTAACGCATGTGTTACTGGACAAAAATCGCACGCAATGTGGTTTAAAAAGGCAACATGGCCCGACAGCGTTTTAGATGGCGGGGTGAATGCACGTGACTTTAGCTTTGAACAAAACGACGGTATAACACCATCATTCAACAACAACAACAAACCTCACCGGGTGTGCGCGGTCAAATTGTTCCCGGGTGGATTTGTGACGGTCGGAAACGTGACAACTGCATGATAACTAGACGCATTACACAAAAGCATATATATACACGTAGAATGTTGGCCTCCAAATGTGCAGGCCAACGGCTGATTGGTTTCACTCAGAGGGCAGTACCAGACTAAAGTTGCAAATAGCTTTTTTTAATAAGTCTCACGCTGAACACTCGCAACACATGCGGACCTTCGCCGTCAGAGAACTTGGACAAAAAATAAAACCCACGAAACGATTAATTTGATGCGATGGTGGGGGATATGCGACGTCAAGCGAGCTGTCGTAACCAACCGCCCCTGGAAACGCAGCGTCCTATCAGCAGGGGACTCTCTCTCTCTCTACGCAGCTTGCGTGTCACAGGTTCGTACGAACGACGCTGAGTTTGAACAACCTTCTCCAGCCCTTCCTCCTTCAGGCTGATCACGTCCAGGTCGAAGTCTGTGCGCAGTCCGTTGCTCTGGTTGAATGCAATTCGGCCGGTGATGCCATCCCACTGAGCCTGTGGCACGAGATGACAGCAAAGGGGAGGGGTAAATTGAGCACTGGTCTCGTATTGTGTGTGTGTTGTGTATTGTGTGTGTTGGGTATTGTGTGTGTGTTGCATATTGTGTGTGTTGCGTATTGTGTGTGTGTGTTGTGTATTGTGTGTGTTGTGTATTGTGTGTGTGTGTTGCGTATTGTGTGTGTTGCATATTGTGTGTGTGTGTTGCGTATTGTGTGTGTGTTGTGTATTGTGTTGTGTATTGTGTGTGTTGTGTATTGTGTGTGTTGTGTATTGTGTGTGTGTTGCGTATTGTGTGTGTTGGGTATTGTGTGTGTGTTGCGTATTGTGTGTGTGTTGCGTATTGTGTGTGTTGCGTATAGTGTGTGTGTTGTGTATTGTGTGTGTGTTGTGTATTGTGTGTGTTGTGTATTGTGTGTGTGTGTTGTGTATTGTGTGTGTGTTGTGTATTGTGTGTGTGTTGTGTATTGTGTGTGTTGTGTATTGTGTGTGTGTTGCGTATTGTGTGTGTGTTGTGTATTGTGTGTGTGTTGTGTATTGTGTGTGTGTTGTGTAGTGTGTGTGTATTGTGTGTGTGTTGTGTATTGTGTGTGTGTGTTGTGTATTGTGTGTGTGTTGGGTATTGTGTGTGTATTGTGTGTGTTGGGTATTGTGTATTGTGTGTGTGTTGTGTATTGTGTGTGTGTTGTGTATTGTGTGTGTGTGTTGTGTGTGTATTGTGTGTGTGTGTTGGGTATTGTGTGTTGTGTGTGTGTGTTGTGTGTGCATGTTCGGGTTGCCACCTGCCCTGGTTTTCCCAGGATCATCATACATTTGAGGGAGACAGACTAGGAAAATCCGTAAGTCTTCCCAGAATATTAAACCTCCCAGTTTGTTATTGTTGTTGTTGTCAGTTGCATGTCATTACCCTCTCTTCCGATATTGTGAGATATTATTCTTGACATGGCAAGTCTGGAACTTTTATATCTTAGGAGTATCAATCCTAGTGCATGTATGACTTTGTATGAATATGTATGCATGTGTATGAATGCGTATGTATGCATGTATGCGTGTGCACGTGTGTTTGTATTGCTGTATTATCTCTGTATTCATCTATGTATGACTTCATGTGGTGGCATATATGTAGGGAGCGGTAGTGCAGTGGTTAGTGCGCTGCGCTACGAAACCCGGCGACCCGAGTTCAATTCCCGCACGCGGCCAAAACCAGTGACAACTATCTGAAACGGTCCTGAGCCTCTCCTAGGTCGACTCAGCCTCAAATGAGTACCTTGGGGGGGGGGGGGGCGGTGTAAGAACATCGCCACTGGGGAGACAAAGGCAGCCGGGCGTGGTGCTGTGGTCACCCACCCCCTCGCGTGCAATGCCGGCCTTCATAGGTGCTCGCTAACAACATTTTCCCCAAAAGTCCATTAAGGCTACGCGGATAAATCTTTGTCTTATATAAATGTGCGTGAGTAGGCGGTGCCAACTGCATTGAGCCCCATGGGCCAATAGGGGTCCCAGGAACTTGGCTGGGAACAGTGGGGTGGGTTCGAGGAATTGGACAGAGGCGGCCCCATTTGATTCCTTGCATCAGGGGCCCATGCCAGCCACATTACGCCACTGTGAGTGTGTGTATGGGGGTAAACAAGCGAAAAAATACACCCACCTCCTCCCGCTCATCCTCATGGTTCCAATTGTCTTGTAAACAGTGCCACTGGGGAATAGGCTGATGGTGATGGGCTGATTAGCCTCATAGCGTGTTCACATCCACCGCAGTGATCAGATGATAAAGCCTCCACATTAAATCGCTCAACCATACTTATCAAGGTACCGCGGAAATTAATCTGAATAAGCATGTGCTGAAGGCTCCGATGGGTCAGGTGTCGATGATATCCCCTGGCTAGCCCTCATTCGGTGGAGCCGGGAGACTGAAATTATCACCACTTCCCCCGCCGCCGGCCCTGAGGGAGCCTTCAGAAGCAACGGGTAATTTACTGCAGCTGGCGACGTGGAATTTCCGAACCCTTGCCGTGGAGCAAAGGCATGGCATTCCTCTGTCAGTAGATGGGCCAGTAGCACTTGGGACCTCCTGTGGAATACAGAAGGTCCCGTAAACCGATTCTGGCTCCTGTTTTTTTCACGAGCGGTGGACAGCAGAGTTTCTGAGTGGGTGGGTGTATGTATGTTGAACTTCTTTCGTATCGTACGTTGCCAACCGTGCTAATCGGAGGTGCAATCGAGTGGGTGGTAGTGCGTGAGTTTTTACCACTCTGTAAACGTCAATTCCTGTCACCCAAACATAGAAACCAATTGCCAGACTGTGTGGTGGGTCGGTGAAGTTGCCACATTATCCAGAGGCAGTAGAGGACATATTTCTAAGTCAACTTGGATCTATCAACCCTGTGTAGTACACTGTAATAAAGTTCCACTCAATACCACAACATCTCAGTACAAATCAATTCCTGCCACCCAAAGGCAGACGCCAATTGCTGGAGTGGCCGGGTCAAATCCTATCAAGGTCAAACCGGATGGGTGTCAACCCGAGTCGATGTTCCCCTACTCGGGGAAGGGTAACATCAAACAACAGCAGCGAGTGGCTCTTCCTCTGAATAATATAATTCAGGGAGTGTGGGAGGCTATATGTGTGTGTGTAAATATCTGCCTTGGTTGTGTTTCTCGTAGTATTCTTATTTACCCATGCGTGTTGAGTGCATGCCCAAAGGCCCAAGCCACCAAGCAGCCAACAGCACAATTAACATTTTGATTTAAAGCTTTCGTGACTACAATGATTCATATTCTTGGTTCTTTCGGTAAATTCACGTTTAAGGGAAACAATACAATAATAAAAATATTATTTAATTGTTTTAGATTATTATTTTTTTATTGTTTCCCTTCTACGTGACTTTACCGAAAGAACAAAGAATATAGCACTATTAAGAGTTATAAAAGACAATAATTTATACGTTTCCTTGAATTATTGTGTACGTTAATGTATGCCTTTATATGATGCATTTTACGTGTCTATGTGTGGTGCGTGTGTGTGTTTTATGCGTTCTGGGAGTGCGAGAAAAGTTGTTAGAGTTTGATTCAGTGGCAAATATTTGAATCGGTCCTGGGCCCTGCCAGAGGGTTATTTGGCCTGCTCTTCATGCTGGCCAGACTTTTTGGTGAGAGGTGACACTACCCAGAATTTTCCCCCATACATGCGACCTGTCGATTGACTGGCTCTGGCGGTACCCATTAATTACACCGCTAGGATGATCGAGGCAGTAGAGCAGGATTCGAAAAACTCGCCCCGTTGTTTCAGCTGCTGTGCCGGGAGGTGGAATTGAACTGTTGACGACTGGATGGCAAGTCCAATTTGCTGACCGTTGCACCGTTGTATTTGCGTGCGTCTGTGCGAGTGTACACAAGGCTAAATCAAACCCAGTGAACTTTGCCTTCATCTGCGCCACTGTGAGCGCCGATCAATACGGCAGCATCTCTTGCGCATCACGCTACAATCTCAGCCACCCAAGGTTCAAATCCCTGGCCTGGCAGAGATGCACATCACCATCCTCCATCATCGTCGTCGTCATAACCGCCATCACCAGCGGCAGCTGTCACCAGACAGCAGTGGAGACTTGTTTTTAATTCCCAAGGATGGTGGGAAAAGGAAAAGTGCCGCTCACATCTCCAAAGGCTTCGGAGACATCAAGGGAGGCAATCTGAATCCACTGCCCCCCCCCCCCCCCCCGCAGGGAATGCCTTCAGCCCAGTGGGGCTCTATCAGAGGAGCACCTTGCTTAATGACACTCCCATCGGAGATGGCGGATCCCTTCTCCCTGACATGGCAGAGCGCCCGTGCAACGCTCATTAAAAATAAATGGTGCTGTAATGAGGGCTGCCTGGCTCGGAGGGGCAAACGCGCCGCGTGTGTTGACGCACTGCCCAGCAGCCCCGCACCTCCGAGGCCCTGGGTTCAAGCCCTGGGCCGGGGCGACGGTGGGGGGGGGGGGGGGCAGGTGAATCTTTTAAAAATAGAAAGTTAGTGCTGTTTGTAATAGAGGTTTTTTTGGGTTAGATCGCGTAAATATATAAATGTGTCGTTAAAACCCGCCACCACCCGACACAGCCAACTAGTAAGGGTTGTCACGTAAACAAAACGTGGCCAATTCGTCACTAGTACAGCACACCGGTGTGCTGGAGAGCCAAGCCACAACATTTACAATCTGAGTACGACGTTTCGCCAGTAATTACAACTAGCTCCATCAGGCGACAGCCAGATTTTTGAAGTCTTACTGTTTCGTTCCTTATATAGAGGCGTAGATGTGGTAACCACACTTCTGCTGTCTTGCGCAAAGTGGGGGGGGGGGGGGGAGGGGGGTTAATGAGTCAACGTACATTATGCATGCGCATTATGCGAGCCCATTGATCTTGTCCTTAACGCTGTTTTTTAGCCCGAAAAGTTACCTATTTTTCTTTTCCACACGCAACTACACGCATGTGAGAAATTGAACATGACTTAGATGGGCAAATAAAAATAACCGCCCCGAGCTAGAGAGGCGAGACACGTGCGCACGTCCATAGCCTCTCCCTTATCGAATGACTCATGCAGCCCCGGCTTGCTCCGCGCGCAAAAACAACAACAAAAACAACAACAACGACACCGACACACCGACACACCGACACACCGACACCGGTATTTCTAACGCCACGAACCTCGCCGCCACGCTCCGCTCCTCACCCGCCACCCGCAGCCCACTTTGTCCGCGACAGCCTCCTCCTTTGCGACATTTGTCTCATAAATTGAATTTACCCCGGGAGGCTATTTAGCGTTGGGAACTTCATTACGCGGGAGTGGCGCCGTTAGCGATTGCGCGGTAAACGTTTAGGTGCTCAAATTGCGGCCGCATGATGCGTGGGCTTCGGAGCAAACGGGGACGCGGTTTCACCCAAGCGGCTGTCCGCTACTCTCGTGGCCCCGCCATAGAAATGTGGAATTTCCACCAACTGATGCCCGAGAGCCAGTGGAGATGGACGCTGCTCAATCTAATTTCTTCACGTCGACACTTTTAAAATACGTCAAATATCTATCCACACATTGTATGTTCCAATTATATAGTTCAACACGAAGTTTTTTCATAATATTGGTCGCGAAAAAAAACTCTCCAATGACCAATAATAAACATTACCAGTTGCACGCGAAGGTGCGTGCGTATAATACTTGCATGCAGATTACACAACTTTTGTGATCAATAATCATTATTATTATTTCAACTTGTTACACGCTGCACAGTATTCACTCATTCTTGAGGACAGAACGACTCAGAGGCTTGAACCACAACGCGAGTGGGAAGGCGGCAGCAGCAGCCACGTGATCAGCTGGTGCCAAACCCCCCTACCCCCTCCCCCCCCCCCCAAGCTCTGCAGTCCTCTATATATTAAGGTGTTGATCGGGCAATTGTATGTATGTGTGTATGTTGAACTTCTAATGTTTATGTGTGCAAGGAAACCGGAGATTAGCGCAGACAACCTGCGTGTACGGAGGGGCGAAAAACTCATACAGGTGGAACAGGAACAGGTGTGATGCGCATTTGCTGTGCCGCCTTCTCCTGGCAAGCCAGGGTAAGGCACTTCGTCAATGCCCACGGCAAGGGATTTTCACAATTCTTTCGTGATTCACCAACCCTCACCTCGACAGTGCTGGATTACAGGCCCAGTGCAGCTGCACCACCCACCCACCCACCATCACTACACGGCTTTATATTTAAAAGGTGCCGGGTTAACATTACGACCTGGGCAAGCCTGTCCATTCAGCGCACTTTTTTTTTTTACCAACGTACATTCATAGCAAACGACGAAAGCACCAAATGCAGCGATGTTAGGTGTGGCTATCTTGACAACAGACTAAATTGCGAACGTCTGTACACCTACAAACGAAGATGCAAGAAGTCAAACACAGCTCTTGCAGATAGCACCTTGGGATTGTCACATTGAAAGCCTTCATCATGGACAAAGAGACTTGAAAATATTACAGTCAGGTGGGTTCGTAGAACGTTCATTCTGCATCGTCCTTGAACGCGACCTCTCAAAAGTAATCAGCCACCGTTCATTGTAACAGCGGCTAAAAAGTTTTCATTCCTAACGTTGTTACATTTTAGAGGCCCTCGTGGAATTCACGCATTAGGCCCCTCTCACCTTTCAAAAGGCATGCATGCAGCACCAGCACCAGCAGCAGCAGCAGCAAGCCACACACGCACGCACGTGCACTCACCTCCTTGATGGCCTGCATGTAGCGAGCGCCGAACCTCCAGGGCTTGTGTCGGTGACACTGCAGGGAGCTGACGGTCATCTGCGTGGAGCGCTGGGAGGCCAGCGAGACCACGTGGACCGCGTCGTACATGAGGGCAGCGTCGGTCTGCGGATGGGGGGGGGGGGTGGTGGTGGTGGTGGTGGTGGGGCCGGGGGTCAGAGGTTTGGACCGGCGTCTTAAAGGAAGGCCCGACCAGCGCGGAGGGCGGTGAGCAGCAAGGGTTCAAGTTTCAGCCCCGCGGAGTGCCTGGCGCTCGTGCAGCTGCTGGCGTGAGCAGTTACAAAGAACTTTGTTTTGAGATGCATTGCTCAATTGCGCCCGACGTCGAAGCAATGGCAAGGCGGGAGGGCGATGCTCCCTCCAGAGAGATTTGAGTTTTGTCGTGGACCCGTGGATAAATCGCGTTAGGGTATGCACACACATGCGCGCGCGCACGCACGCACGCACGCGGAGTTCGCAGAGATGGAATCTTGTGACACGCAACTATTCTTTTTTTAACCTCATGAATGATGTATCTTACAAAACTCACATAGCGTGTGCAAAAAAAAACGGTGGAGCCCTGAATTGGCTTTGCTCAACGCCAATGCCGGCAGAAAGGCCTCCAATTGAGGGAGTTATGTTCTTCTACGCTGGCCAGACATCTTGGAAAGGAGCACCCACACTTGACCCCACCACACACGGCCTCCTGAGCGAGATGTGGGTGAGGAGAGGAGTGACACTAGGATGGGATATGGTGGAGTGAGACTGTGGTGAGAATGAGGAGTGAGACTGGGGTGAGAGTGAGGAGTGAGACGAGAATAGGATATGGTGGAGTGAGACTGGGGTGAGAATGAGGAGTGAGACTGGGGTGGGAGTGAGGAGTGAGACTGGGGTGGGAGTGAGACTGGGATGAGAGTGAGGAGTGAGACTGGGGTGGGAGTGAGACTGGGGTGGGAGTGAGGCGTGAGACTGGGGTGGGAGTGAGGAGTGAGACTGGGACGAGAGTGAGGAGTGAGACTGGGGTGAGAGTGAGGAGTGAGACTGGGGTGGGAGTGAGACTGGGGTGGGAGTGAGGAGTGAGACTGGGGTGGGAGTGAGACTGGGGTGGGAGTGAGGAGTGAGACTGGGGTGGGAGTGAGGCGTGAGACTGGGACGAGAGTGAGGAGTGAGACTGGGACGAGAGTGAGGAGTGAGACTGGGGTGAGAGTGAGGAGTGAGACTGGGGTGGGAGTGAGGAGTAAGACTGGGACGAGAGTGAGGAGTGAGACTGGGGTGGGAGTGAGACTGGGGTGGGAGTGAGGAGTGAGACTAGGATGGGATATGGTGGAGTGAGACTGGAGTGAGAATGAGGAGTGAGACTGGGGTGAGAATGAGGAGTGAGACTGGGGTGGGAGAGAGGAGTGAGACTGGGACGAGAGTGAGGAGTGAGACTGGGGTGGGAGTGAGACTGGGGTGGGAGTGAGGAGTGAGACTAGGATGAGATATGGTTGAGTGAGACTGGAGTGAGAATGAGGAGTGAGACTGGGGTGAGAATGAGGAGTGAGACTGGGGTGGGAGAGAGGAGTGAGACTGGGGTGAGAATGAGGAGTGAGACTAGGATGGGATATGGTGGAGTGAGACTGGGGTGAGAATGAGGAGTGAGACTGGGGTGGGAGTGAGGAGTGAGACTGGGGTGGGAGTGAGACTGGGGTGGGAGTGAGGAGTGAGACTGGGGTGGGAGTGAGGCGTGAGACTGGGACGAGAGTGAGGAGTGAGACTGGGACGAGAGTGAGGAGTGAGACTGGGGTGAGAGTGAGGAGTGAGACTGGGGTGGGAGTGAGGAGTGAGACTGGGACGAGAGTGAGGAGTGAGACTGGGGTGGGAGTGAGACTGGGGTGGGAGTGAGGAGTGAGACTAGGATGGGATATGGTGGAGTGAGACTGGGGTGAGAATGAGGAGTGAGACTGGGGTGGGAGTGAGGAGTGAGACTGGGACGAGAGTGAGGAGTGAGACTGAGATAGAAAGGGAAGAGGGAGACGGAGTCAAGCGAGGAGGGGGAGTTGAGCTAGCGGCTACCGTCATGACCCCGTGCACGAGGCCGGACTCGGGCCGTGTGGGAGCGAGACGCTCCATGGTCCAGCGCTCCATGACGGAGGAGACGCGGGAGTCGTCAAGGCTCATGAGGCGGAAGCCCGTCATGTTCACTCCGCTGTAGCGGTAGCTGTCGAGATGCAGGGCAAACAGGTCCTGTGCAAAGACAAAGGTCCCCCGTGTAGCCTTCACCAGACCATCGGGGCTTGTGCTGTTCGCGGAGCAGCTATGAAGGCCGGCACGGCACACGAGGGCGTGGGTGGCCAACACCACGCCCGGCCGCCTTTGTCTCCCTAGCGGCGATGTTTACACATCGCACCAGGTACTAATTTGAGGCTGAGTCGATCTAGGGGAGGCCCAGGACCGGTTCAGATAATCGTCACTGGTGTTCGCCGTGAGCGGGAATCAAACTCGGGTCGCCAGGTTCATAGTGCAGCGTAGCGCTAACCGCTACACTCCTGCTCCCCATTACACACATACACACACACACCTACACACACACACACCTACACACACACACACACGCGCGTGTACATGCACAGAGAGATTCCCTCTTTAACATCATAAACATAGCGACACGTTGGTGTTGTGTATTTTTATGTTTCATGTTGTCTCACTTCACAAAGTGGACTTCAATTCCCCATGGGTTTGGAGGCAAAGTCAGGTGGCAAAACGGTGGGTTGCAGCCAATTCACAAGGATGAACCGTGCGATGCACTTACCAGGGTGGTGAATATGTAGTGGTAATACTCTGTCATCATTCCCATTGCCATAGCCTGCGAATATATCCACACACACAGACACACGCAGAAACATATCCTTCATTTAGCCTTGCGGACTGCTCGGGCAAGTGCTTTTAATGAGCACCAATTAAGGCGAGCGTGGCGAACAAGAAGGTGTTGTGACTAACAAACACGCCCGACGGCCTTGGTCTCTCCCGTGCTAATGTCTGCTGGACATCTGTGACAAAGAGCTTAATAGCTCATCGGATTCCGCCAGCATGAATACATATTCTGATTGCACAAAGCGCAACTCAACGATCAGTTGTCTAAAGGGTCTCTCTGGGGCTCGCTCGAGTCGGAGACCCACCTGCCCGCAGTTGCATGAGCTAGCAATCGCAGGGCTGCGCCTCTCTCTTGCTATTTTTGTAACACATCTAGGAGAAAGCGCAGGATAAGTTGGGATACTGCTTGTCGTTGTTATTCTTCACCTGGAATCAAACTCACGTTGGTGAGGTTCGTAGTGCGGCGCGAGAACCACTGCACCCCATACACACACACATTCCAGATTTGAAGCGTTCGTGACTACAAGGATCCATACTCTTTGGTTCTATTCGGTAAAGTCACGTAGGTAAAAAAATTAAAACAACAAAAATTACGACGTTTCAGCCACAACACAAGCGGCCTTCATCAGGTGAAGGGACCAACCTGTCCAGCGGACAGCGTTGGAGTGAACGCTGTCCGCTGGACAGGTTGGTCCCTTCACCTGATGAAGGCCGCTTGTGTTGTGGCCGAAACGTCGTAATTTTTGTTGTTTTAATTTTTTACCTACGTGACTTTACACACACACATGTTCGGCTATTGATTTGCCGATCAATTCTTCCATATTTAGGTGGAATATATTTACAAGACTTTTCTTGAAATGGTCATTGGGCCCAGGAACGCATAGAGCTAAGTTTATTGGCCTTCCCCCACACCTCCGATTAGCACGATCGGCGATGTATTGTGCATAGAGAAGTTCAACAACATACAACATAGCACGGCACAGGAGGGGTTGCTGTGGCTAGCACTACGCAACAGTGTTGATGTTGAGTCAACTTGAGAGAAGTCCATTACGAGTTATTATACCAAAACGTGCCAGAGATGTCAAGCCAATGCACAACTGCTCCCCACAACGACAAAGATACGCCACATAGCCAACATGTTCGACAATAGCACTGCCTTAAAATACAAATGTCACAGGTGACGTTTCAAGTAATGGCCTTTCTTCATCGTACCACAATGTTCCATGTAGCCATACGGACGTCTGGAGCAAGAGTTGTTGCACGTACGTGTGTTGAACTTCTTTCGCACCGTACATAGCCAACAGTACGAATCGAAGGTGCGGTGAGCACATATTAAGACCAGCATGACACACAAGGAGGTGGTATGGCTGGCAGCTTTGTCTCTCTCGTGTTAATGCCCATACACCAAACGAGATGAATTGACCGAGTTGAGGCCCATGGCAGCAGTGGTTTGACCAGCACCAAGCCAAGCAACTTTTGTCTCCCCAGCGCTGATATTTAGAGTCTGTAACAGGTACAGGTTTACAGCTGAGTTGACCTAGAGGAGACCCGGCACCGGTTCAGATATTCACCACTGGTGTTAGCCGTGACAAGAAATCAAACTCAGGTCACCGGTGCCGTGGAGTGCACGAGTCGCAATGCGACCGTTTCACACAAAGACAAAGATCCCCTATATGGCCTCTAACAGATTGTTGGGGCAAGTGCTGTTAGCGAGTCGCAGCACCTATGAAGGTCGGCACGGCACACGAGGGGGTGGGGTTGCCAGCACCGCACACGCAGAGGAACACGCACACTTTGACGGCAGCAAATTAAGCGCAACACATCACCATTAAATTTCAAATATCCCCTTCAATGTCCACTTATGGTACAATCATCCGGGTGACAATTATCGCTTTGCTGCAGTGAGGCCGTTGCGAATAAGGGCTTGTCATTAGTTCTTTTCGTTATTCGGCAGCGGGTAATTCTCAATTTTTTCGTTTGGGCTCATGAAATCAATTCGCGTTGGGTATTGCTTCTACTACCACTGTGAATTACAGGGACATCACAGAGCCCCCTGATAATGCCTAGAGGCGCTGTTTGGTGAAAAGTGAGCGAGATTTGAAGCATTGAACCGTCACTAATTGGTTCAGTGGCAAGTACACGAACCACTGGCCTCAGCAGCCATACCAATAATATGCTGCTCATAATCATTATAAAATAATTTACGGAACCTTTTTCTTTTTAATCCATTGCTCGTTGAAGGCCCTCCCCCATGTCACGTCGATCATGGGGGTTGGTGAAGGGTCAGGTGGGGGAACCAGGAGAAGTTCAGATATTGCTCGCCACCGATGTTAACCATAGCCAGGAATCTACGTTGGTTTTGTCAGTTCATATCATCATCATCATCTACAGCCATCATCAATCCACTGCTGGATGAAGGTCTCCTCAAGCCGTCAACACAGCATCTCTCAAGATCCCCACGATAAAAGAATTAAGCTAAACTATTAAACTAAACAGTTTTATTTTATTTAGCGGGTAATGCCCACTGAGCTACCTGGCCACAAATGATGGCTCAACTTAGTGGCTTATCACGTGGACAATTATAGCAGCTAAATACTCGAAACGCATGTTTCTAAATGTGGAGGGAAATCCCGGAGGACCTGGAGAAAAAATCCACACGACCCGAGGGAGAACGTGCAAACTCCAAATATACAGCAGGCGTCAGGGTCGACATTGAGCCCACCACCTCCTGTATACCACGAGAGGAAGTTAACATCTCGCCACCATGGCGCAAATAATCTACCTAGCACCTACACTTGAGTTGATTTCATGGTTCCATCTCTCCGTAGACGTCCTCTCAGACGCATTCCATCCCGTGCCCGCCGCTACATCGTTATTTTTCATAACACAGCGGGTGAATCACCATGTCACTACTCCAGGATTTTTTCCACTGTTCACGTCTCTATCGATACGGTAACCACTAAGTGAATTTAAACAATATTGGCCTCATAATAATCAAGGTTTTTGGGTTAGACCACGTAAATATAAATGTGTCATTAACCCACCACAACTCCACACAGCCAATTAGTAAGGTTTGTCACGTGAACAATATGTGCTAATTAGCCGCGACTTCAGCACATTGGTGTGAAGTAGAGTAAACCCACAACATTCAAATATGTATGTTGAACTTCGTTCGTACTGTACGTAGCCAACCGTGCTAACTGGAGGTGCGGGGGAAGGACAACAATCAATGTAAGACGTTTCGCTGGTGGTTACAACCAGCTTCATCGGGCGATTTACAAGAATTACTGGAGGCGAATTGGTCCCAACCTTAAGCAGTCCTCAAACCCAACGATTTTCGTTCATATTTAGTCTCTTTTGGGTTATATCGTGTGGATATAATGTCAATATGTTTGACTATAACCATCCACTACCCAACAGAGTATCAAATTAAGTTGTCAAGTCATTGGCAAATGAGCGAATTGATTTGGGGTTTTTTTTCAGAAAAACATGTCTTTTAACGTTATACCTACGCGATCTGACCCAAAATTTCAACTAATTACGTAGCGTAACATTGGTTGTGAAAGCCCTACGTACAAATATAACCAACAACTACCCACTCCACATGGAATGAGTGCTCATATTTGCGCAGGATTGTATTGTGAAATGCACACTATATTGGAGTCGGATGGTGAGAGAGAAAAACACATCTCAAATTAATGTGCTGCACATTTTATACACACTTTGTAGTCTGTGCACACATGGACACAAATTAGAGGCCCTAATTATATACACACACACACAAAGTGACTACAACTCGAGCACAGACAATCCAAAACAGACGCACGCACACAGATTAAAATTAAAAAAAATATGTGCAAAGAAGCATACGAACGCGCGCGTACGCATTTCCTCCATTCAAATGTGTCTCATGCGCCTAGATGAGCAAGCACAAAGAGTGAAAAGACAAAAAAACGAAAATCTGAAATTAAAACTGTCAGCGAGAGCAACGTCACGTGGAAAGCAATTACTCGGCAACACAGAAAAATACTTTTTGGTTTTACGCCAGCGAGGAGAAAGAGAAAGATGATATTCCTCGTCGCCTTGCAACGCCAACCTGGCACCTCAGCGGGTGTTCCCATGACGTAACATAATGAGGGTGTACATCGTTAAGAACCCGTACGTGTTCCGCAACAGCGGCAATTGCAGTGTCTCGAAGATTAATCTCTTAAATTCCGGCCGTTTAAATATACATAATAACAGAAAATAACACTGCACGTGCCTTGGAGCCACGCAAGTGTGATATCTTGGCTGAGTGTGCGGTCGAACAGATAAGGATGTTCAGACTATCTTCTTTGGTTCTTTCGGTAAAGTCAAGTAGAATGAGAATAAAATAATAAATTGATAAAATAAAATAACACAATAATATTCTCACGACGTTTCGGCCACAACACAAGCGGCCTTCATCAGGTGAAGGGACGAGACTGTCTGGTAGGACAGCACTCCAGCGCTTGTGTTGTGGCCGAAACGTCGTGAGAATATTATTGTGTTATTTTATTTTATCAATTTATTATTTTATTCTCATTCTACGTGACTTTACCGAAAGAACCAAAGAAGATTAATCATTGCAGTCACTAAAGCTTTAAATCGAAATGTTCAGACTAACCTGATGTCGTAGACGATTTTCAGCTTTCTTTCATTTTGAACAAATGTATCAACAGTACCAACGCAATACTTCGTCTCACGAAGTTCGTCTTTTTCTCATGCAATGTAGTGTGAAAGGCTGCAGGAATTCGATTCACGAACCCTATAACCGAACGTTTTCATTCCAATAATCGTGAAGGCGAGTGTAATTCAAGAAATGAGGCTCAAGCTTCTTGGGGATACGAAAAAGGCCAAGACACCTCTGAGCGAACTACCAAATGCACAACTTCTGCTTTCGGAGGAAACCGACGTACCGTATTACAGCAAAGTTCAAAGGTCAACGCGAGGTTCCCCTCTCACATGAGCATCGATTCCGGTGCTCATCTCCCCTTTTACAGCCCTGAGCCAGTGCTGGAAATTCCACATTCCTATGGCGGAAGGGGGAAGGGGGTGGCGAGGTTTTACATAGGACAACTGCTGTTGACATCCCCACAAAGTGGTACTCGTTTTCTCAACCCTGGACGGATGATGGGCTGAGTCAATGGCACCCCCCGCCCCCCCCGTCCCTCGGCCCCCAACTAGGATTGAACTCGTATCCTTGTGATTGCGAGCCGGTGGCTCTACCGCTGAGCCACCAAGACGGATGTGACAATGCGAGGGGATGAACCTAAAAATAAAGTCACGTTTTCGTTATTTTTGCATAAAGCAGAAAAAGCTTTTTGCTTCATTTTTTCCCCGATTGAATAATTTAATTCCACGCGAGACTACGTGAGGCAACATCTCGCAGAGAGCTCGTTTAGAAACAAAAAATAATGGAGATCCTGAAAATATGTCCATACATACTCTTTCCTCAATGGAAATTGAACAAATGTGGAATTTGAGGATAGAATATGGATGGTGGTGGCGACTGCCCTGATGATTGTGGTGGTGCTCCTGATTATTGTCGTGGTGATTATGGTGTTGGCGATTGTCCTGATCATTGCGGTCATGGTGATGATGGTGGTTGTGCGGCTGTTGGTGGTGGTGATTGTCCTGATGATTGTGGTTTTGGTGGTGCAAGTGGTGGTGACTGTCCTGATAATTAGTGGTGGTGATCGTGGATTTGAGCAGAAACACTGTTAACATATGTAAACACCTGCATTACACGTGTGTGCTTTACACAGACTGCAAGCAACAGACTTACACAATACCGTTCAATTCCACAATTCCGCGAATGACACAGAAAACGATCGGAGGTGGTGTCTGAAATGAAACTTCAGACGGTCAAATTCTAATACATGACAATATAATGACGTCATTTTTTTATTATTCAACCGTATTTTCTTTCAGAAATTTTGATAAGCATAATCTGTTTTAGAGAGTCGTCACCCACGTGTGTTGTGCCATGGCTTTTGTACAGGCTGTAAAGACTACCATCACTCACGATCTTGCCTCGTGTGAAAGTACAACGGAAGAGAGAGGGAGAGGGACATACACAGCTGCATGGGAAATCGATTCAATACATTTCCATCTGTGCGAGGAATTGGGCATTAATCCCCGCCTCCCCGCCACCACCCTGCCTCTTCTACTCGCACGCCTCGGTGTTATGCGGGCACTCGGGTTTCCTCACGCGTGTATAACCACTCGTCACTTTGCTTCGGACAAAATAAATGCCAACGTAGAACCGCCACCCAGTTTGGGTAAACCTGTTGGAGATTGAGCGTTAGCCCCCCCCCCACCCCCCTCACATGCCCCTGTTGTGTTTGTTTATCTCGGCACTCCTGTGTCCTCCCACGTGTGTACGACAATCGCTTTGGTGGAGTTGGCCAAAAGTCTCAAAATTGGACCTTGAAGGAGCAATGGGCAATTGTTGGCGCCGGTGCTGACTGCCTTCGCAAGCGCTTGCCTGTGGTTTCCCCCACGCCTGCGTGTGGCAACTGCACGTTACACATTGCACGGCGTTTTGAGATGCTATTTGGGAGCGTGGCGTCACGATGTCAGTTTAACAAGTAGGAGGCTGCCGCGACCACGGTTTAACCATAAGGGGGCTTTTGGGGTCAGATCACTTAAATGTGAAGGTGCCATCAAACCCGCCACCACCCAGCACAGCCAATGAGTAAGGTTTGTCACGTAACACAAAAGATGCCAATTCGTTACAATACAGCACACCGGTGTGTTGCACAGTATACCCACTACAACATTTGCAATTCGAGTGCTGTGACGTTTCGCCGGTAATTACAGCAACAACCAGCCTCATCAGGTGACAGCCAGATTTGTTGAGAAATCCACCTCCTGTTTCGGTTGGAAATATACATTGTTTCATCAATTACTGTATATTTTTTAATTGCAACTTAAAATTGCCGACTGTTACCTGTCGCAGGATCTCGGCCGCTGTCTCGTGGCCGCAGTCAAAGATGAGATAAAACTCCCGGCCTCGTTTCATCTCCTTCAGCAGCGGCTTGGTGTCGCGCGTGTCCAGCGGGAGCTGGCGAATTTTCAGTTTCAGGTTGAGCTGCGACGGCGCCTTGATCAACTCCTGGAGTCGTATGAGGCCTGCGTTCCAGAAGAGAGAGAAAAAAACAATGACGGCTCGCGAGCGAAACGGCGAGGGAATTAAGCTGGGGGGATTTTTTTTTCTTTTCTTGCGCAGCTGCGCGAATTACCCAAAAAATAACCACACGTGGACATTTCCGAAAGAAAATCTAAACTAAAGCTGAAATGTGGCTAAAGAAGAGTGGCGCGGTGCATGCTGGGTATTACATGATACAGAGGAACAGATGGCACAAATAAAGAAGGCAAACTGGGGTTGTTGTCTTTCCCCCACACCTCCGATTAGCACGGTTGGCTAAGCACGGTGCGAAAGAAGCTCAACATACGTGCGTACTGAACAAGCAAAAATAAGTGGGATTGGCCAGAACACGTATTTCAGTTTAATGTATTTGGTATAGCCCTGTGAGCCATTCGGCTCTTGAATCGGATGCAACTGCAACAAACAAAAAACAAAAACATGAAAAACGTATATTGGTCAGTGGGCAAGGCTAATGATGGAGTGGCATCCACAACAAGGGCGTGCATCTGAAGGGATGGTGATCCGGTAATCAAATCAGCTCAATGAGATTGTACGTGCGTACATATGTTGAACTTCTTTCGTGCCATATGTAGCCAACCGGAGGTGCGGTGGAAGGACAACAAACTCAAATGAAAAATCGGTTCTAAAGAAATTAGTTTTCAATCTATATATTTAAAAAAAGATTGCCGCATCACAAAACCATGAGAGATTTCACGGGGCGGTTTGGGGAACCCTTGATCCAGAAGTGAATAGATGACGGCTGATGATGATGTCTCTTTCCGTAATGCACCGGTGATGGAAAAAAGTTGTTTGCAATATTGTGACAGGTGGGTATAAAAAAAAATGTTTCTAACAAATCACCGCATTGCATATCACAAGACAAAATGTAACTTGAAATTGATTAATTATAGAATCACACATTGACAACTTTGACTGATGGATGAAGCTAAGAAGACAAATTTATTGTATTAACTGTTATAAATCTTACATATTAATAATACTTTAATACGTGCTTCTTTGTACTATACCAGCTTTCAATGCATAATGAATCCAACGGCGAAGATTGAATGATCCTGTATGAAAATGATCACCTTCCATCTCACGTTGATGATGTGCATAGGACCCATGGTCCAATGCACAGAGAAAACCAACACGACCATGACCAACGAAAATGATCCCACGTGCAGCCTTTAACAGGCAGCTGTGTCAAGTGCTGTTAGCGAGCACCTATTATCACAGTGCACCACACAGGCAGCAGCTGCCTTACTCTCTCCCCTGCGCTGATTTTGTTGCCACCCCACTGGGTACTCAAATAAGGCTGAGTCGACCTTACAGGGGGAGGAAGCCCTGCAAACAGTTTCAATTCACTTGCCGCAGATATAAGCCATGGCTGGGAATCGAACTCGGGTTTGCCGGGTTTGTAGAAGCAGCGCGCGAACCACTACACCACTGCTGTATACAGGAACAAAACAAAGACCTCCCATATAGCCTACACACGTTGCTTGGGGCAAGTGCTGTTAGCGGGCACCTACTGTAAGTATGCACGATCACAATAACAGACGCACTTGGACACGCGCGCATTTTTGTTTTACACATGGAGCCTCTTCAGCTGTAACTTAAATGAGAAAATAGACCATTTTAGCTCCGGTTTTGGTCTCTAAATGTTCGTACAACCATTTGATGAACGTGTCCGGTTTTCAATGAGGTTATTGCGTAAGTGCGAACACACAACTTCGCGCTAGAATTTCCCTAGAAACTGGATAAACATGGCAAGAGCTTTAGTCACCCCCTACTATGGACAGGTGGATCGACAGGCACAGGGGAAAAGGGGGGGGGGGGGGGCTACTTGCAATACCGCTTTAAATTTTAGTCCGAGGGCGTTACAAGCAAACAAAAAAACCCAACCATGCCAAAGAGGCATAGAACATTCGTATCCCTCTCAGCATCACCCACCCGAAATGTTGACTTTTTTTTCTTTTCTCAAAACAGTCACCGGCTCACCCCCCCCCCCCCTCCTCCACCCTCCAATTCACCATTTGACCTCACTTCCCTTTCTAAAGGCTCCACATTAGGGGGCACGTGGCGCGTACAAGGGGCGGGTGGCTGCGTGCGCTGGATTGAAATGCTCGGCACCGGTCAAGAGTGCCAGCTCCGCAGAGCGCGGAGAAAGCGGAGCCGGATTTATCGTCGCGAGCGCCGGACCCAGGCACACCGGCCCTTCAAGCGAAGGCCGAACGAGTGTCGCCGCCAAGGATAATTAAACACGTGTGCCGGTCGGAAGGTGATACGTAAAATGCCATTTGGCCAAGGTGAGCAGGGTTTTCAGAGTCATCAATTAAAGTTTTCCAAACGTCATCAGGTCAACATTGTCGTGAGGACATTGAGGAGAGAATACACGGTTTTGCGTGTTTTCTTCTTTATTTATCCCATAAGCCGTTGTGTATTGACATACACCCTCCCGTGTGTGTGTGTGAGAGTTTATGCACGAATTAAACCGTGAATGTCGCTTTAGAATTCCCGTCGGATTTCCTGAAGATTCGTGCAAATCGCAAGCGACTTATAAATGTCTTCTTGCTGATGACAACTGCCCTAGCCATCAACAAAAATCTTTAACAATATTCCTCTGACACAGACTGACGTCCCGATTCCCCTTTCCAGAATGGTGCTGTCGCTCTTCCTAGAATCTCACCTAGAGGAATGCTGACAAACAATCGCAGGCGTCGAGAATCGACACCTGACATGGCACCTCCAGCCTTTGACGTTCCTCCAAGACACCAGTGTAACGATCAACCGCATCAGACCAATCAATCAACAGGTCGATGTGTACATTTCCTTCATGACTGCAACATAAAAGATAAGCCACAGGTGTGCGTCCGTGGCCAGGCAACACAAAACAGTGGGCCATATCGTACATGGAGGAATAGCAAACTACACAAACTCTCCCGTGAGGTCATCTCGTGGAGAACAGACCTCGACATTGGCATGTAGCTCCTGAACATATTGCCATTATCAAGACTAGAATACAATCTCCCGCCGCTGGGTTCGGAGCACAGTGTGCTAACCACACACAAAGAGCCCCATTATAGCTGACACAGGCTGTTGGGGCAAGTACTATTAGCGAGCACCTATTAAGACTGGCATGACACTCAGATGTCTAGCACTACGCCCGACCACCTTTGTCTTCATTGTGGCGACGTTTACACACCATACCACGTGCTCATTTAAGGCCGAGCTAATCTAAGGGAGGCCAGGGACACGTTCAGATAATCACAGATGATGTTAGGCATGGCTGGGAATCGAACATGGGCCTCAGGTTCACAGTGCAGTCAGGTAACCACCAAGCTACCGCTCCCCAAAGCACACACACACGCGTACACACACACACGCGTACACACACACACGCGTACACACACACACGCGTACACACACACACGTGTACACACACACACGCGTACACACACACACGCGTACACACACACACGCGTACGCACAAGGCCACGTGGTGACTGAAAATTGTTTTCTCCCACATTAGCAGGGTGATAACATCACAAACAAATACTTACGCGGGGCCATTAAGCCTCCGTTTGTTAACACGAAGCAAAGACGCCAAGCAAATTAAGTGAACCTTCTGGAGGCGACCTCATGAAGCTACACTGCGTACACAAGGATGTGTGTGCTTAATAGCCAATTGTTATGACGACTCTGCAAAGCCACATTTACACAGTCGGTGTCAGGGCCAAACACACCACGTGACCTTACGAAAAGGACACGGGAGCCAGATAAATGGAAATTACATTGTTTGTGGCTTGGGTGCTTGGTCGAGCTTGTTGCCGGTGGCTGGGATTGTCGGCACGAGCGGCCGTTGAAGCGACGCACCATCCGCTGCACAAGATCATCGCTCGAATGTGCGTGGCGCGAAGTGCGACGAGACGATTAAAACTATTTAATCATTTTACCAGGTGACGCCCGCTGAGCTGCGTAGCTCTTTTGTCAGAAGCGACCTGGCCATCACAAATGATAGCTCAACTAAGTGGCTTGTCACCATGCGGAAATTTATAGCAGCCAAAGAGTCTAAACGCATGATTCTAAATGTGGAGGGAAAAACCAGAGGACGCGGAGAAAAATCGACGCGACCACGGGGAGAGAGACACGCAAACTCGGAATATACAGCAGCAGGCGTCAGGGTCGGGATCAAACCCACAACCTCCTGTATACCAGGCGAAGCAGTTCACTTTTCTCCACCGTGGCACCCAAGTAAGAATTACAGTGAGCACGTTTCCCGTGCATAAGCACAAGCTAACAATGCCGTGCCACCTTAGTTATTCACACTACTTACAGGTGCAACATCGTCTGTATGTATGAATGTATGTTGAATTTCGTTCGCACCGTACATAACCAACCGTGCTAACTGGAAGTGCGGGAGAAAGACAACACACGACACACAAAAAGCTGGGATTGTTTGGCATTTCACAAATCCATAAAAATAAATAAAACAATTATTTGTGAAATCTTAACTTGAGGCTTTCGTGACTGCAGGAATTAATATTCTTTGGGTCTTTCGGTAAAGTCACGCAGACGGGTTCAAAGAAAATAACAAAAAACTACGACGTTTCAATCGCAACACAAGCGTTCGTCGTCAGGAAGAGGGGGTTAGCTTCTAAAGGGAAAGATCTAATAGTTGTTTGGAAACCCTCCCCGTAGAGTGCGGTTAAATATTTGTGAATCAATTCTCGGCCTATATATTCTATTCATCCATGTTATGACAAAGCATGATATACATGGACGTGAGATGTTGGGCATATACAGAACATCATTATTATCATCACCACTTTTAATTGACGCAATACCTTCCGTCCAGTGCATCTCAACGTGCTCTGTGGCAGTCGAGAGAACCAAAGAGCCAAACCCCCCCCCAAGTGACAGCTGTCCCTGTGCAGCACGAGACGACTGCACGAACGGCTAACAAGTAGCCATCAGTCTGCCA